ACTATTCATCACAGCAAAGATATGCAAATGACCTGCATGCTCATCAATAAATGGAGAAACAAAATGAGGTACATATTTCATAGCCATAAATAATGATGAGTTCTCAAACAAACTGGATGAATCTGAAGGACATTAAAATGAGTGAAATAAATCAATCATGAAAGGAAAAATATTGCATGATCTCACTTTTATGACAAAAATGGGCACACATGCAAAAATAAATGTTGCCAAGGATTGGGGGTAAGCTAGGGTGTACAATGGGGGATGGAATCACTCTCTAGATCAGTGGTTCTCAACCTGTGGGTCGAGACCCCTTTGGGAGTCCAACGACCCTTTCACAGAGGTCAGCTAAGACCATTGGAAAACAAATATTTTACAATATATAATTACATATTGTTATGTAATTAATCACTATGCTTTGTTTAATTACATTCAATTTGTAACAATGAAAATCATCCTGCATATCAGATAGTTACATTGCAATTTATAACAGTAGAAAACTATAGTTATGAAGTAGCAACAAAAATAATTGTTTGGTTGGGGCTCACCACAACATGAGGAACTGTATTAAAGGGTCACGGTATTAGGAAGGTTGCGAACCACTGCTCTAGATGGTAAATGGTTGTTATTTTGGGTGACAGGTAAGATAATAACACTGAATATGGAATAAGAACACACAGGTCAAGGCACATGGTGTCAGTTAACAAGAGAAAAGGCTGCTTTGGGTAAATGATAGGACATATACAAAGGAGCTTCAAAATTTCATGGGAAAAACTAGAACTTGAAGATAATGGAATTTTCTCATGGATTTTTTTTAAAGCCGCCTTAATATAACAAAGCATATGGGGAAAATATAAACATTTCTTCAACATACCAAATACTATGCAGGAAAGGTTTTGAGGGTTTATGTTCTATTATCTAATTCAATGAGTTAGTGCAGTGCCTGGGATTTTAAAAACCTTGCAAACAGCCATCTGAGTTATAGCTATTGGTCTCAGGAGCAAAAGAGAAAGAAGATGACAGACTTAAGAGATGAAAGCAGTCTAATATGACAAATAAGTCTCCAAGAACCACAGACTCAGCCACCCGGAGAACAGAAGAACTAAAGGGTACCTAGCCACCACATCAAGTCTGATCAAGGCCATAGGAGATGGATCTTACAGAATAGGAAAAAATGTGGAACAGAACTCAAATTCTTAGTAAGTCAGACTTAATGGTTAAGGCTAGAGAACTGAAATTATCTTGAGGTCATTTTTTTTTTTTTGATGTCACCTTTTAAAAAGCTAACAGATTAGCTTACAAAGTAAAGAATATCTCTGTGAGTACTACACTCCTTTTAAAGTATCCTCTCTTTAGGACCACAGGGCCGGCCCCACCTAGAGACACAACATCCCTCACTGACCCACAGCACTTAGAGGGACACACACTGGAAGCACAATATGGGAACTGTGACTGATCTGACTGCACCACTCGGGGGCGGGCAAAACACTAAGAGCTCACAACAGAGCAGCAAGGGGAGCAGAGCAATGAAGTTTCCCAGGGAATACCAAAAATAAACTTTGGGGCCAGGACGTGACAAACAGACCTTGAACTATTTATAGGCTTTACCTTTTTGTCTTCGTTTTTTTACTTTCAATTGTTTTATTAGGGGCTCATACAACTCTTATCACAATCCATCCATACATCAATTGTGTAAAAGCACATTTGTACATTCATTGCCCTCATCATTCTCAAAACATTTCCTCTCCACTTAAGCCCCCGGCATTAGGTCCTCATTTTTCCCCTCCCTCCCCGCTCCCCCCTCTCTCCTCATGAGCCCTTGATAGTTTATAAATTGTTATTTTGTCATATCTTGCCCTGTCCGACATCTCTCTTCACCCACTTTTCTGTTGTCCGTCCCCCAGAGAGGAGGTTATAGGTAGATCCTTGTAATCAGTTCCCCCTTTCCAATCCACCCTCCTTCTACACTCCCAGGATCGCCACTCTCACCACTGGTCCTGAAGGGATCATCCGCCCTGGATTCCCTGTGTTTCCAGTTCCTATCTGTACCAGTCAGTGTACATCCTCTGGTCTAACCAGATTTGTAAGGTAGGATTGGGATCATGATAGTGGGGGAGAAAGAAGCATTTAGGAACCAGAGGAAAGTTGTATGTTTCATCGTTGCTACATCGCACCCTAACTGGCTGGTCTCCTCCCCGAGACCCTTCTGAAAGGGGATCTCCAGTGGCCTACTAATGGGCTTTGGGTCTCCACTCCGCACTTCCCCCCTCATTCACTATGATAAGATTTTTTGTTCTGATGATGCCTGACACCTGATCCCTTCGACACCTCATGATGACACAGGCTGGTGTGCTTCTTCCACGTGGACTTTGTTGCTTCTGAGCTAGATGGCCCTTGTTTACCGTGTCTTCGTTTTTTTTTGTTGTTTTGCCCTTTTTTTGTGTGTTTATTATTATCTCTGCATGTCTATCTAGATAAGATAGGCCAGATAAACAATCCACAGGAGAAAACAATGGGACCTACGGTTCCAAGGGGACATGGGAGAGGGAAGGGTGGTAGGAAGTGGGTATTAACAAACCCAGGGAAGAGGGAACAACAAGTGATCCAAAATCAGTGGTGAGGAGGGCATAGGATGCCTGGTAGGGATTGATCAAGGGCAATGTAACCGAGAGGAATTACTGAAACCAGAATGAAGGCCGAACATGGTAGTGGGACAAGAGGAAAGTAAAAGGAAATAGAGGAAAGAACTAGGAGGTAAAGGGCATTTAAAGTGGTCTAAATACAGGCATGTACATATATAAATATATTTATTATATACAACAATATAGAAATAGATATATATTTGTAGGTTTAGTATTAAGGTAGCAGCCGGACATTGGGCTTCTGGTCAAATACTCCAACACAAGAACACTTTGTTCTAATAACCTGGCATTGTGTGATACTCACCTTCCCAATACAATAACTTAGGAGAAAATGGGTACATAAGCAAATGTGAAGAAAGCTGATGGTGCCTGGCTATAAAAAGATACAGCATCTGGGGTCTTAAAGGCGTGAAGATAAACAAGCAGCTATCTAGCTGAGAAGCAACAAAAGTCCACGTGGAAGAAGCACACCAGCGTGTATGATCATGAGATGTCGGTCGGTCGAATCAAG